TTCAAAAGAAAACGAGAGCGAAAGAGCAAAACAAATGCAGAGTATATTACCTGTCGGAAGGCGTGTATGGGGCGGAAAAAGCATTATGATCAAGTATCGCCCCAAAATGGATCACGTGTAGGGAAAAAAAAAGAAAAAAAAAGAAGATAAATACAAAGATCACTCTCAACAAATTGTTCCAAAAGAGAAATTTACTTTGCAAACAAGATTTGCACTTTAGAATAATTTCTCTTTATCAAAGTAAAAAAAACAAGCACCAGGAAATAAAAATTAATCTAATTTTTAATTTGAATTCAAACCACAAAAGTTAATTTACATGAAAAAGTATTTCGTTTACAATTTTTTCTCCAACTTTCAGAAATTATTTCCCAATATCTAATTTCAACACTCTGCTTTTATATACAAAATCCAATATATAAACTATCTTTTTTCTCTGGAATTATATATGAAAAAATTTTTTCTAAAATATTCTGTGAAAAAATTAATTATTCAATTTTTAAAAGTTTACACAAATATGTAAATAAATTATAAATAAATTGGATATATACAGAGAATATAAGTAAATGTAATAGATGTAAAAAACATAAAAATAAATAAATAATTAAATAAATAATATTAGAAATAATAAATAAATATAGTAAACAACTAAAAAAATGTAAGTAAATGAAGTATTAAACAAATAAGAAGTAAATAAAAAAATAAAATAAATAAAAAGTGAATAAATACCTATACTAATAGAGTCAAAAAATAACTAAATAAAAAGTAACTAAAGTAAATAAATAAAAAGTAACTAAAGTAAATAAATAAAATAGTAAAAAAAATCATAAATTAATATGAAAAATACTTTCAAAAACTAATATAAAAGAAATTACGAAAAAAAATATTATTAGAAAACAAGAAAACAAAAAAATGAACAAAATGGAGTATTACAAAATAACAAATAAGCGATGCAATATGAAAAAAACCTAATTTTGAACAAATATGTGCATGCAGATTACTCGTTCGAAATATGACATTTATGCAAATTTTTCCATTAAATCGCAAACAAAAATGTTTGAATGAAATGGAAGTGCACTGTAAATAAAACGTTAGTTGATGAAAGTGAAACGTTGACGATTTTTCTATATATGAAAAAAAAGAGAAAACAAAAAAAAATTCACGAAACGGGTTTAATAAAATGGAATTGTGTCGGAATTGTACTGAAAATGAGACTTCATGTATACCATAATCTAGGTTGAATCTCGATTAAAAAAAAAAAAAATAATGAAAAAAGAATCCAACGACCTATAGATTCTTGGAAAAATTCCTAGCATAGCTGTGTAAATTGCTGTTTTAAAATTGACATTATACAAGCAAACGCTATATAGCTAATCCACAGAGGCACACACTAAAATTTCACGAAAAAAAATTCCTCATCTCCACACAAGAGATTCCATCTCTCTTTCTCTCTCTCTCTCTCTCTCTCTCTCTCTCTCGACTTTATTTGCATTTTGCAGAGTGCTCCTGCCACTGAGCCAACTTTCTTCGAGACCATAATGATTTCCATCAACATAAAAATTAAAAAACACACTGTTTAACTCAACAAACGAAACTATCTATTATTTTATCAACATTATGAATTTTATAATAATAATATTAATAATAATATCAATATTAAATATAATAATAATAATATTTAATAATAATAATAATAATAATAATAATAATAATAAAAAGAGTAATAATTATAATAGTAATAATAATAATAATAGTAATGATAGTAGTAATAATTTTTCTTTTCCAAAAGATCCTTTGTATCAAAAGGATGTTAAAGTTTTTTCAAAAAGTCTCATTTACTTTAATAATTTCATTCATCCGGAGATAACTTTCCAGTTTCCATTATGTTTATCATAATTGGACACTTTACATTTTTTTCAAATATTACAGAATAATAAGAAGAGGATTATTAAATTTTCAAGAAATATTGACTTTGGAAGAAACATTAACTTCTTCAGAATAAATATTCACTTTTTATATTAAAAAAAAAAAAAAAAATAGAAAAAACAATAAAAAATTATTTCTTTACTTTTATCAATATTATTATGCAAATTACAAAATTTTTTATATCTAAATGTTAACTTCAATTTTTAAATAACTTCAAATGCCAAATTAGAAAAAATTTACTTAATAACTAATTATGATTGTTTATGATTTTTAACAAATTTAGAATTATTCTTCGAAAGAACTCACTTATTTTCAATAGATTTACAATTAATTTCATTTTATTTTAATTTTTTAATAATTAATATTTTTTAATTTTTTAATTTTTTTTTCATTTTCATTTTTTTTCATTTTTTAAAAATTAATTTCATTTTTTTTTACATTTTTCTAAAGATTTCAATTATTTTAAATACGATTTTTAAAAAGAATTTCTAAAAGTATAATTTAATTATTTTAAATTTTTTTATAAAATTCTTCTGAAAAATTTAATTATTTCGTGAATTCAAATATTTTTAAAATTTTAATAAATTTCATCTCTAAAAATTAAATTATTTCTTAAAATTACACCGTTTGTAATTATTTTGGACCCAAGGCCACAATCAAAAAACATTTTTTGACAAAAATTAAGGTCCTAAAAACATACCAATTAAAATGATAATAAAATTCTTCCAAAGAATGAAATTATTTTCAATACATTATAATTAATTTCAATTAATTATTCACATTTTTTTAAAGAATTTAATTATTTTCAAATTTAAAAACGATTTTAATAAAATTTCTCAAAAGTCAAAAGTATCCAAATATTTTTAAAAAATTTTAATAAAATTCTTCACTGGAATTCGATTTTTTCTAATGCAATTTTTATAGAATTTTTTAAAAGAATTCAATTATTTTCAAGATTTAAAATTTAAAATTTCCATAAAACTCCTTAAAAAAATTAAATCATTTTTTAATACAATTTCTTGAAAGAAATCAATTATTTTTATAAATGTTATTAAAATTCTTCGCAAAAATTTAATAAGTATCAAAAAATTTTAATATAATTAATTAAAATGAATTCAATTCTTTAAAAAAAATTTATTTAAATTTCTTGAAAGAATTAAATTATTTAAAAAAATTTGAATAAAATTTAGGGCAAAAATTCAATTATTTTCAAAAATATTAACAATATTTTTTGTGCAAAAATAAAATTATTTCTGATTAAAAATTATAAAAGTTCAAAAAATGATAAAATTTTTTAACAAAAATATTTTCTTTTGAAAATAAAAAAAAAATTTATTTATTAACGCAAAATTATGGAAAATAAAATAATTTCTAAATTTTTCTTGCAAAAATAGTATCACGAACGATATTCAAAAAATGTTGTTCAATTAATTTATATAATTATTCAATCTTCAAAACTATAATTTAGATTTTCCTTCATTTAAAAATTCAAGAAAGTTTAAGAGAAAAATTACCGAAAAAAATTAGGAAAAAAAACAAACAAAAAGAACAAACAGCAAAAAAACATTCAGAATACAACGATTATTAACATACAAGATAGATTCTTCATTTTTTAAATAAATTTTTTTATTCTTCCCATTTTCTATTTATTTATTTTTATTTATATATAAATTTATTTAGTTACTCATTTCATCTATATTTAAAAAACCTATAAAAATTCTCCACAAAATACAATTTGAATATTTAATAATTAAAATAAAAAAAAAATATGAATGCAAAATAAGCGTAATTAGTGATATTTATATTTTATTTCCTTTTTGATATGGTAAATTATTATTCCACGTGGATGAGTCTCTCGAAAATGGTGTGCCAATTAGTTGCTTATTTCTAGTTGTAATTTAACACAAAATTCAATTTATGAAGTACAATTGTAAAGGATTTAATTGAAAAATATCGCTGCTAGTTATAAATTAAAAATAAAAAATCACAAAAGAATTAAATATAAATAATACCAAAATGAATCTTTTATTTCTTTTCCTTTCATAATAATTTTCGAAAATGTAGATTTTTAACAATGATAATTTTTGAAATACTTTTGTAACTTTTGCAATTTACGAAAAGTACATAAAATTCCTTTTCATGACGAGCTCTCGGGTGAAATATATATCGCAAGCCAAGCGTAAAAATCTAAACGTCCTAATGAAATCTCCCGTTGTAATCACGTTGAACGTTGAGTGATTTGCAAAAGGGCGCATTAAACTAAGAATAGAGGGAACGAAATTACATCCTTGAAAATGAGAATATTGCGGTATTCTTATTTTTTTTTTTTTTTTTTGAAAAAGAAGAAAAAAAGCTTGGAAACTTTAAAGAAATATCTATCAGGAAATGAAAAATTAATTTAAGTAATAGTGGTTCGTAAATTTTACGTCTGAAATTTTTATATTTTCAAGGAAAAAAAATGGAAAAGTTTAAAGTCTTTAAGTTAAATATTCTTCGATTTTGTATTAGTATTTTTTTTCTTTTAGTATTTATTAGTATTTATTAGCATTTATAGTATTTATTTTATTATTTATTTATTTTATTTATTTATAGTATTTAGTATTATTGCTTGAAAATTGTTTCTTATTCTCAAAAAACAGGAATTTTTTCTTATCAAAAGAAAATTGTTCCAACTAGTTTTGCTAATGTAACTGAACATTAATAATACATTCGAAAACAAGATAAAAAGCGAAATCAAAAATAAATCATATCATGATAACTTGATGGTATATATTAAATAAAGAAAGAGAAAAAAAAGAAGAAGAAAAAGAAAAAAAAAAAAATAAAAGCAATAACGTTCAGTACGCTATTGAAGGAAAAAGTATATGAAAGCTATGTTAAAAGGAAGTAAAATATTCAGAAAAGAAAAACGGACCCGTTTGATCGATAAACGTTATAAATGTAAAAGTAGGTCGTTTCAATTCCTAATGGTAAAGTAAAGGAGAATAAACTCTCTGAAATGGAAAGAGTGCATCAAGTCCACCTTGGAAGATTCTCTCTGACTTTTAAATTTTTAAATAACTCGAAAAGAAACTTACCGCCCAGGCGTAATTCCGCAATTCCCTGCGCCATCTCATGTTCATTTCTCACAAAACATTGGTACATACCGCGGTCCTCGCGTGCAACTGACGTCACGGAAATACGTTCACGTGAAACTATTCTTATGCGGGCACCAGTTCGCAGTGGCTGACCATCCTTCAGCCAATAAAATGCAGCTTGAGGAAATCCACTGGCGCTACATGTCTGAAACAGAAGCACATCATTTCATTTTAAAACAAGAGCGCGAGAAAGAGAGAGAGAGAGAAATAATTATAGTCGAATACTTCAACTAATTTATTAATCAAAAAGAGAGAGAGAGAGAGAGAGAGAAAAAAATGGACATTTTCCATTGCGTAAAATTATTCCCAAAGGAATATTCGCCATTATAAATCAAAATTAAAAATGATTTTAATTAAATTAAACAAAGTTAACAGTATGTGACACGGCAGACTTCTCTCTCGCTTTAAAAAAAAATTTTATCATTTTTAAAATTCATAGAACGTAAAAACTTTTAATTCAAATTTTTTTTTATAAAAATAAAATAAGAATTCGAATATACATATTTTTAATATTATTATAATTATAATAATATATTCTGACATAGGAAATTCATGAAAAAGTCACGAATTTTCATTAAAAGTACTGAAAAAAATTAAATTTTTAGAATTCGTAAGAAAATACTAAATTTTTGTGTCTTTTTTGCTTGACTCATGAACTATAAATTATAAATAATATATTTTATTTATTTCTCCATTGTACACTTTACATAAGTTTTACAATATACTTTCCCGCAATACTTAAATTTAAAATATCTTATAAATAGTAGTATTAATTCTCTATACATTAAATCACATCAGTTATATTTAACTTCATTTAACAAATCATTTCTTAATTATAAATTACAACATGTAGTCTTTGATTTTTCTACAAATTCTTTCGCGTACTCGATGAGGACGAGATTCGGCTCTCCACTCAAAGTTCTTAATAACAAATCTTCAAACTGAGTCCCTGTTTTCCCTTCAGCCCACCTTAGTACACCATCTACCCATTTCTTACTTAAGATTTCCCTTGCTTTTCCACAATTCCAGATATGAAAAATATTTTCCTCCTCAACCTGACATAATCTGCACATGGTATCCAGAAACCCTTTATTACCCGCCTTCCCCACATTTCCACACCTTAGTCGAGCCCATTGTTCTTTTATTTCCCCTTTAATTTTTTTATCTTCCCAATACTTTTCCCTACCTGGTGCCTTTTTTAAGATTTTGTATTCCTTGCAGTATTTTGAATCCCTGATTCTACCCCAATCGTTTTGAATTTCCTGATCTAGTGTAATTCGTACTCCGTTCATCAATTTATTTTTAACTTTATCATCTTGTCCTCCTTCCCATAGCCATTTTAATGTTTCTCCATCTCCAACATCCTGGCAAATTTTCTGCAATGATTTTCCCAAATTTGAAGGGTTTGCATTAATTATCCCCCTTAACTCCTCTCTTAGACAAATTTTTGGCCATCTTTCCTCTCCCATTTTGACAATTGTCATTAGATAATTAATTGCTCTCTTTCTTGCCTCGATTTCAATTCTATGTCTGCCTGCTTCCATCCTCCATATGTAGTCTGGAGTTGTGACATTAATACCCATTGCCATCTTGACGAATCTTCCTTGTAATTTTTCTATTTCTTCCCTCCTTTTCCACCCCCAAATCTCTACCCCGTACAATCCTCCTGCCTTCACTAAAGTATCCATTAAATACAATCGCTTCCCTAAATTATTAATTCTAGCCCTTTTTAGTATTCCCCATGCTGAGTTTGTTGCCATTCTTGCTTTTCCCGCCAATTTTTGGACATGTTTTGAGTACGAATTCTTTGTGGAAAACCAAAATCCTAAATATTTATATTCGTTAACAACTTCAAGTGCTTTACCCTCTATTTCCCATTTATCCGCTTGCCGTCTTCTACCCCCATTTCTGAACACTATTACTTTAGACTTATCTGCATTTACCTCCAGTCTGTTTTTACTTACATATTTTTCGAGTTTTTTCAGCATTTCCTTCAGTCCCTCCGCCCAGTCTGCTACTAAAGCCAAGTCGTCAGCAAATTTTAGCACGAATATTTTCTTTTTCCCTATGACCGTTCCCCCTATATTTTCTTTTTCCCATATTTCGTCCATATCTTGAATGAATATATTAAAAAGTAGTGGACTAAGTGGACACCCTTGTCTGACCCCTCTAATTGTAACAAAATGCTCTGTTAACCCCTCTCCAGTAATGACCTCATTAAGTGTTTTGCTATAAATTGCTTCAATCATTTTGAACATTCTTCCTCTTATACCCAATTTCCATATTTTGTTCAATAATATACCCCGGTCCACTGTGTCGAAGGCTTTCCTCAAATCTATAAAGGCTACATGTAATTTTCCCTCTTTACTTTTCAGCTTATTGTTAATTAACGAATTTAAAACCCAGATGTGATCACGCGTGGCTCTTTTCCTTCTAAATCCTCCTTGACTTTCCTCGAATTTCCTTTCTTTTCCATCCAAGTTCTTAACCTCTCATCCAAAACAGCAGCTAGAATTTTATACCCCACATCCAGCAATGATACACCTCTGTAATTTCCCGTTACATGCTCTTCTCCCTCTTTGTGAATAGGGAATATTCTTGCTTTTTCCCAGCCAGGTCCCAGCACCCCATCTTTCCACATTCCATTTAATACTCTATGGACCTCTTTGGCCCAAACTTCCGGTAATCCTTTAATAAAATCAATAGAAACTCCATCTTCTCCTGCTGCTTTTCCCTTTTTTAGCCTATTAACGACCTTACCTAGCTCTTCGAATTCGATGTCCTCATTTAGCTTGATGTCCCATTCATCCTCCTCTGCATCAAACCCCTCGATGTTTTCTGAAGGTAATTCTGAAGTTGAAGTTTGAATATCTTCTTCTTCTTCTTGCTCACCCTGAAAATTCTCCTTTTCCCCTTCCATTGGTGTATTTTCTGAATTCTGATCTTTCCCACCTAGGAGTTTCATAAAATGTTTTTTCCAATCCTCTTTTTTGATGCCCATACCTTTACATTTTCTCCTCGGCCTGAAACCATTCAATGATTGCCAAAACTCACTCATATTTTTACTTTTGATTACCCTTTCCCATTTTTCCTCTTTTTCTTGCTGTTTCTTATTTCTTCGCCATTCCCTTAACCTTTTCCTACTTTCTTTAAACTCTTCCCTTTCTTTAACCCCCTTCTTTTTCAAGTAAGCTTTCAAGCATTTAAAAGCCTCTTTTTTCAGCTTCTGTTCCTCTTCATTCCTCTTTCTACCCTGATTTCTCCCTCCCCTCTTTATTTTTCTAATCATTCCTACCTGCTCTGCAGCTAATTTAATTGCTCGATTAACTTCATTCCATGCATTTGACCATTCCCCTTCATTAACTATTACTTTTTGTTCCCACAACTTCTCTAATGCCTCTCTGTACTCTTGCGTCTTTTTGTTGTCCCATACCAATCGATCTTCCTGATTCTCGCAATCTGTGTTTACCGTGTGTTTATCGTTACCCTTCATTATACCCTTCTGTCTTCGCTTACTTTTAACTTGCAATTTAAATGTCACTGGAAAATGATCTGACTCTATCCTTGGTAGTATTTTGATTTCTTTCACCTGAGAATCGCCAATTCCATCAGACTCAATTATTAAGTCAAGGACCGAACCTCCTTCCTCCCCTACACGCGTCAGTTTTCCTTGAGTGTCTCCGTTTATTCTTCCATTAAGAACCCTTAACCCCATTTCCTCACAAAACCTTAATAATTTAACTCCTTCACCGTTTACAGTTCTATCCTCTGATGTACGCACTCTATAATAATTTTTACTTGGAGCCTCTTCATCTATTTCGCTCCCCCCGAGTTCCTCTCCTATCCTGGAATTCAAATCCCCTAAGATTATCAATCCCTCCCCTTTGTCTTGAAAACTGTCTAATACTGGTCTCAAACTATCTACAACCTTGGACGTTCCGACATTATTGTAAACTGTGATCATGTTAACAGTATTTCCCCACTCACCAAATTCATGCGCTTTTATTACAATTCCATACTCCCATTCTTCCAAACTCACAGCTTTGCATGCATTCTTTTTTATTCCCACCAACTGACCCCCTTTTGCCCTCCCTTTATTGTTAGTTTTAACAGCACATTTCGTTTCCCATATATAATCTACATCTAAAATTTTTAAAAAGGATTCATTTTTCTCCTCGGTGATCCAGGTTTCTTGTAAAATGACGATGTCGAATTGTTTTAAAAAGTCCCAAGTCTCTAATATCTTCATACCTCCGGCGATGTTCCAGACCACTCCGTTAATTGAATCTGTTATTATTTGCGAAGCGCCTCCCCTCCTGGTTACGAAACCCCTCGATTACACCTTTTTCTTCATTCCAGGTGAATTCTCTGTCATTAATTGTCCACTTCATATACGAAAATTTGCTTACAGCTCCCACTTCACTCGCTAACATGACTTCCTCCTTAATTCGATTTTGTATCTCCTGTTCTCTCCAAGTCAAGTCGTCCTCTATTGTTATCTTCGTGTTTCGCAACTTATACTTATTCTCCATTAATCTTCGCTTTGTTATCCACGAATTAAGCGTGATCAGTGACCCTCCCGCTACATGCCTTAAATTTTTAATCTCAATATTTACACCTGTCAGGTCAAACAACACTGATCTTATTTGTTCTCCTAAATGTTTCCCTCTTGAGCGAAATCCTCTTACCATGATACAATTCTTTCTTGATTTCCTTTCCTTCATTTCCCACTCTAATTCACTACTACTAATCATTGATAAAACTTTTACACCCATTGCATCTTTATTTAGCACTTTCAAATCACTTACTTCTATATTCGTGTCCACTGTGTCATTATTATTATTATCATCCTCACATTCCTCTTTATCGTTTGAGATATTCCTTGAAGCAACAATTATTGGCTCACGATAATCCTGTGTCACATCAACTGTGTTCCTTAAAATCCCTTGTTCTTTAATTCGCGCAGACATCGTTGCTAACTCTTCTTTCAATGATTCTATTTCTTTCTGATATTCTTTCTCTCGCTCCCTAGCTTTAACTAATGCGGATTCCACTGCCTCATCTCTTATAACTCTATCCCTTAGCTCTGAAATTTGACCCTTGACCTCCCTGAACTCTCTTTCCACTTTTTTGTCCCACCACTCATTTAACATTTTTTCAAAAACTTCTCTTTGTAAATCTTTTAACACTTCGGCCCCACTTGTATTCCGACCTTCACTAGAAATAGATACATTCCCGTTTTTTCCCCTAGAGGTTTGCACTTGTAGATAATTTCGCAACAACGATTTACTTTTTATCTTACTGCTTGTCAGTTGATTTGACATTTGTTTAGAGGGCCTTCCACGTCCCCGCTTTTGCGGTGTTTTCCATTCAATAACCTTCTGGTTTTTCTGATTGTTTACTCTTTCGGCCATGTTTGTTTTCCTCACTCGTGGTTCACTACTGCTCGCTGAGGTGGCACTACTGTTTTCGTTCGGCAGCTCCATCTCCCCATCTTTCTCCGAATTTCCACCGGAAGCTTTGCCATTTTGCTCCTCTGGTTTCCTAACCTCTTCACCTTCCATTCCTATTTCTCTTGCCCCAAATAACACAAGAAAAAGGCTAAAGTTCGTAAAGATAACACTTTCACCTAAACACTAAATGTTTCCCTCTTCAAACAACTCCTTTTGAAACTTGTGCACTCACTAAATTGATAATTATTCCCGAAATAACGCTCACCGAAATGACACGCGTACGTTCAGTTCGCTATCCCAACCGGAAGTCCAATTATAAATAATATATAAATTATAATATATTATATTATATTATATTATATTATATTATATTATTATTATTATATTATTATTATTCCCAAAGGAATATTCGCCACTGATTCCAATACAAAAACCTTTAACTTTTTCAATTTCTGACAAAAATTTCTTTTTAAATAACTTAAATTTTGAACAAATAGCATAAAATAAATAAATTATTAAATGAATAATTTTACCTAAATATATCAAAATTAATTTAATTTTAAAAGAGTTGCGTTTACAATTTTCATAAATAAATTAATTTCAAACGGTTACATTTTGAAATTTTATAAAGTTCCAATGTTGAATGAATTTAATTAGAAATTTTAATGAACTTAGATTTTTGAAAAATTTTAATAATTTAAAATCTTCTAGAATTAGTTACAGAAAAATTATAGAATTATAGAAGAATTTTAGTTAAAAACACTAAAAAATTGGATTTTGAAGACGTTACAAATGATTGCAGAAATTCAATTATTTTATAATTAATTATTTATAATTATAAATAATTTTATAATTATAAATAAATTTTATAATTATAAGTAATAATTAAAATTATAATAATAATTAAAATTATAATAATTTTATAATTAATTATGTTCATAATTAACAAAAAAATCTTTACAAAATCCCAATTATTATCTTTATAAATAAAAAATTCTTCTTCCAAATTTAATTGTTTTCAAAAATTTTAATAAAATTTTTGGCAAAATTTTAATTATTTTCAAAAATTTTCCTCATTTTAATGATTTTTAATATCTACTATTTTAATAAAATATAACCCAAAAGAATTAAATTATTTAAAAACAATTTTAATAAAATTGTACGTAAACATTTAATTATTCTCATAAATAATAAAAATTTCACAGGAATTTAAATATTTACAAATTTTTTATAAGTTTTAACTGAATATTTCAATTATTTTCAGAAATAATAAATCTCATCGCAGAATTTCAATTATTTTTAATACAATTTTAATCAAATTTCTTTAAAAAATGTAACTATTCTAAAAAATTTTATTAAAATGCGTCAAAAGAATTCAATTATTTAAGAATTTGTTAATAAAATTCTTTATAAGAATTAAATTTATGAAACATTTAATTATTCAATAAATAATTTACGTCTATATTTAAATAATTAAATTATTGTAGAATTTTCTAATAAAAATTAATTTTAAAATGAATTTTAGTTTGAATTTCAGATAATAATAGAATATGAAAATAATTTTTAAAAAGTTACAGTAACAATATTCTTATAATATAAAATAACGATTTTGACACTCGATCCTCTTTAATTATTATAAAAAACATATCAAGAAATCGATCACTCCGAGTCCTCCATTCGGAGTAATCGTTATCTTTATGTTTTATAACAATATTTTTAAAGTTGATTACTTTCAAAAAGGTTTCAATTTCAAATTTTTCAAAATCTTAATTCCTATGGAAAAATAATAATAATTAAATATTTAAAATATTTAAAAAAGAAATTATTGTTTTTAAATAATTTTACAATGAAAGATATTCGTAAATAAATTTAACAGAAAATTTTTTCAATAAAATTTTTTCCTTTCTTTTCTAAAAATTCAAAAATTTTCAGTTTCATTTTCAGATAAATTTTCTAATCGACAAATCTAAGTTATAAACATTTTTTTCCTTTATTTTTAAAAAACTTTGAATTTTATTAAAACAATTGAATTTAGGAAATAGAATTGATGCAAATTATTCCCTTGTGATATAATAACATTAATTAACAGAAAAAAATATTAGTAAAAAAATATAATAAATATTCTATATTAATATTAAGTAGTAAAAGAATATTTTAATCAGAAATTCTTAGTCAAACTTTGAGTCTGACCTTTTTTCCATAAATTAATAGTTAATTAATTTCTTTAAAAAAGGGTTTACTTTTAAAAGGGTTTCTTAATTGGAAACTGTTTATAATTCATCCCTGAAGTAGAAAATATTTGTATCCTGAACAATTTTTGCAGTCGATTACCTAAAAAATTAGGGCTTTTTTTATTATAAAAGGGCTTTTCCCGAAACAAGGAGATATTTAAAAACTGTTTAGAATGGTTCTCCGATTCAGAAAAAATTTATATTTTGAAAAAATAGACTGATCTTGAGATTTTTTGTACGATTATTAGAGTCAATTATCAAAATTTTGACTTTTTTCAACACAGAACTTTTTTTATTAAAAAAATTTCGTAATTACAAAATAAATAGTAAAGATTATTATTAGGCAGGCATTGCGATTTTATAACTACAATGTAAGTAGTAAAATTCAATTTTAGTCCAACATTTTATTTATAATTTTATTTCAAGTAGTACAGGTCAGTTTTAGTAGTTCAAACGTATTTTAGTCAGACATAAAAATTGAGACAAAAAAAACGAATCAAAAGTGTTGCGAAGCAACATTTTGATTCATTTTTTAGTCTCAATTTTGATCTTAGAAAAACTGCTATTTAATTTTATTTCGGGATACAAAAATACTGTTTACTGCTTTTTATATAATTTTTGAATTTTTATATTATTTATAAGTACAATTGTCAAGATATAAAATAAAAAAAAAAAGAATTGACTAATAAAGTTAATTAGAGAAGAAAAAAAAATGAAAACTACGCCTTTTTCTCATGAACCGAGATGAAAAAAGTGAGCAAAGGAAGTATAAGAAAGACGTTATTCAAAAAGGTAATTCAGGAAGAGACCCTTAGGAGTCCTTTAATTTTTTCAGCATTATAACTGTTTCATAGGGAAAAAAAGTTCCCTTTCACAACCAATGCAATTAATAACTTCAAAAGGTTTCTTATATATCTTTTTTCAAATCTTAAAAGTATTTTATCAAAATTAGTTACATTAGCAAACCTCTTTTGCAGCTCCTGTATTACTAAACTGTAGAAAATAATTCAAAAAAAAAAAAAAATCTTTTCTTCACAAGCGAAGCGAAAATTCATCTAGATAATACACTCTTCTTATTACACTTTGATAAAATGTAATCACATTTGAACGAGAAATATCTTAAAAATACAATTTTTCTAGGTCTCCTGACAAAAGCCAGATTTTCACGACATCGTAAAAAGAAAGTTTCTTTCTTTTTTGTAGAGAAAAGAAAATTCTCTTCACGTTAAAACTAAATTTTTATATATAAAACTGTTGTCAAAACTGTCAAAGTTTTTTTTATAACTGAAATAGCAAACGAAAGAAATGGAAAAAGAAAAAATGAGAAAAAACGGAAAAAAAGGAAAAAAAACAGAAAAAGAGAAAAAACGAAAAAAGGGTAAAAACGAAAAAAGGGTATAAACGGAAAAAAGGTAAAAACTAAAAAAAGGTAGAGAAGAATGAAAGCGAAAACAGAAAAAAAGGAAAAAGAGAAAAAAAAGGAAAGAAAAGGAACTAACAGAAAAAAGGGGAAAAAGGAAAAGAGGACATTATAAAAAGAGGGAAAGAAAAGGCAAAAAAGGGAGAAAAAAATAGTAGAAGAGAAAAAATGAAAAGAAAACAAGGACAAAAATTCCAAACTGAAAAAAAAGAACTCACCAAGAAAGCAGATTTCCCAAGATCAACTGTTTGAATGGCAGGTTGAACGTGAACACTTAATGGTGCAGATACAGTTAATTTTACTTCCATTGTTTCACTGCCTTCTGAATTACTTGCAGTGCACATGTAGGAGCCACCGTCAGATTCTTGGACGTTTTGAATTATTAATGAGCCATCACGGACCAAAAAATGTCCAGACGATTCGTCAATTGGTTCATCCCTCTGATTTCGATTATAATACCACCTGAACAAATAATAATTCCAAAAAATTTCAATATATATTTCATTAACCATAAATTCAAACATACAGAAAACAGAAATATTATTTCAATTTAATACTTGTTTAAATATTTGAATATAAACAAATATAACTTTATTTACTCTGGTTTATTAACATTGCTTGTAATTTCACTATCTTTGGCTGAAATAATAATCAATTTATTACCTATTAATTAATTGAAGAATAATTAATTAAAAAATAATTAATTGAAGAATAATTAATTAATTAATCTTTAAATTACATTTTATCAAATTAATAAAAATTTTTAATTAATTTTACTTTTTTTATTTCATTTTCTTTTTTATTCTTTTCTATTTTTATTAATTTTATTTTTTAATTATAAGTGATTAAATAAACACAATATATTGAAAAACAATGTACCTACTGTCAATAATAAATAATAATAAAATTTTTTGTAAGTAAATAGATAGTTAAAGAATCAATTAGAATTCTTTAAAAATACGATTATATTTCAAAATAATTTTTGAAAGTAAACAAATAAAATTCATTAAAATATAAAATTTATTTCAATTATTAATCAATTAATCAATTAAAATTCTTCAAAAATACGATTATATTTCAAAATAATTTTTAAAAGTAAACAAATAAAATTCATTAAAATATAAAATTTATTTCAATTATTAATCAATTAATCAATTAAAATTCTTCAAAAATACGATTATATTTCAAAATAATTTTTAAAAGTAAACAAATAAAATTCATTAAAATATAAAATTTATTTCAATTATTAATCAATTAATCAATTAAAATTCTTCAAAAATACGATTATATTTCAAAATAATTTTTAAAAGTAAACAAATAAAATTCATTAAAATATAAAATTTATTTCAATTAATCAATTATTCAATTAAAATTCTTCAAAAATACGATTATATTTCAAAATAATTTTTAAAAGTAAACAAATAAAATCCATTAAAATATAAAATTTATTTCAATTAATCAATTAAAATTCTTCAAAAATACGATTATATTTTAAAATAATTTTTAAAAGTAAACAAATAAAATCCATTAAAATATAAAATTTATTTCAATGAAAGTTAGCAAAATTTTCAATTGTTTCAATTTTTTAAAATTGTTTTCGGAAATAAAAGTATTTTTAAAAAATTTTAATCACATTTTTTCAAGAAACAATTTTTCGGAATTTCTGAATTAAATTTTTCTAAACTTTAATACTTTTTGTTAAACAAAAATTTAAAAACTTATACTTATTTATTCTTCCACAGAAAAAATTTTTAAAAATTTCAATGAAAAGCCTCATGGAATTTAATTATTTCTAAAAATTGCAACTGTAATTCTTCCAAAATTCAATTACTTTTTTTGAGATTTGAAAAAAAAAAATTATTGAAAAACTTTTAGAATTTTTGAAGAATAATAAGTTAATTAATAATTTTTTTAAATGAAAATTTAAATATTTTTATACTTTTGCTTCCCTTAAATTTTCAAGGAATTTAATTTAAAAACCTTTTAAAATTTAATTAATTCCTAAAATTCCTGTTAAAATAACGCTTTAAATATTCAATTACTTTTTAAAATTTTAATTTAATTATGTTTTAAATCAATTCCTATCAGAATTCAACTACGAGAATTGAATTATTTAAATAGAATAATTTTTGTAAATTTATAAAATAATGTATTTTCAAAAATTCAATTGTATTTATAGATAATTTGAAAAGATGAAAAAATAAAATTCTTTAAAATATAAAATTTTACGAAATTTCAAATTGTTTCAATTTTTTAAAATTATTTTCGGTAATTCAAGTATATCTTCATAAATTTTAATTATTATTTGTCAAAAATCTAATTTTTTTCAGAACTTTCAAATTAAATCTTTCAAATTTCAATCATTTTTGTAAAATAAATATTTGAATACTTATTGTTATTTAAATACAAATATAAATAATTCATAGAATAATTAATTATTTAAAAAAATAATTTGAAACTGTACCCCTTTATTGAGCTTTTGAAATTGGGGTCATATTTTCTCTCTCCACTTATTTTATTATTTAAAAATTAATTGTCAAACTTTTGACATAACAACTCTAACTATAATAACAAATAAAATTGGAATCGAACAACACTAACTTCATGTGAGGATATATTATGTCGATTATTATAATATACAATTATTATATTAATTAATTCATTTAGTGATAAATATTTTTATTTATTATTATTATTATTATTATTATTATTATTATTATTATTATTATTATTATTATTATTATTATTATTATTATTATTATTATTATTATTATTATTATTATTATTATTATTATTATTATTATTATTATTATTATTATTATTATTATTATTATTATTATTATTATTATTATTATTATTATTATTGAAAAAGTTGCTATAGTTGAAATAATATTTTCATTTAAAAGAACTGTATTTTTTTGCGAAAGACAAGAATAAAAATAAAATTGTCACATTCTAAAAGGCTATTAAAAACTTTACATGTTTCGAATGTGTTTCCTTAATTTTTATACAATAAAAAAAGATACAAAGAATATGCATTTTACTGAAATTAGTATACATAAAATTCTCTACTACTAAAGGTGTTAAGAGTAAAATATTCTCTATAAAATTTTTCCATCAAAATGTGAGGACATTTCTTTTTCCTATTTTTTTTTAATTTTATTTTTCTCATGTTGTTGTGTAAAAACGAGATATGGTAGAATGGCATTAATTGCTAAGACTGCAAAGAATTTCACTCAAAATAATGCAGGAAAAGCTCGTGGTAAAGGAAAATGTAGCGAGCCTCGAGTGCTTCGTCAAACATAACGTGACCCAGCTGGAAAACTGGAAGCTTAGCGACTACTTTTGCTTACTTAAAAGAAGAAATATTATCGTTGATGATAGTTTTTATTAATTCACTGTCAGCAAAAATAAGAGAGAAACTGTATTAGTGTTTTTAATTCTGAAATCTGAATTAATAAAACTTCTAAAACTGTAATTTCGAATCAACAATGCGGAATTAAAAACAAAAAAAATACATTCAGTTTTTATGACAGAAGAAGAATTTCTGTTTCTTTAAAAAAGATGCAAACATTTTTGTTGATTTTATCAGGAAATACGTTTGTACAGGAAAAAAATTAACTAGATATAAATTAATATTAAAAAAATGGTTATTTATTCTTCACTATTAAATGTTAATTAAATAAAATCTAAAAGTATTGAATAGTAAATAATAAATAATAACTTTTTCACTAATTAATAACAAAACATGTGCATAAAGAAATAAATAGGATTTAAAAATCTAATAAGAAGGCAAAATCCACCCTTATATTGTATTAAATAATATTACGTAACATTTTTCTACTCTAAATGAAACACGTGGCAAAAAATGTATCGAAATAAATTATTAAATAAAATCCTTGAATATTTTTGTTTACACGTGTTCGCTATTTGAAATTATAAAATGCAAATTAAAACAAAAAAGAAAGAAAAAAAAATGAAAATATAATCTATATAAAAGCAAGAAGGAATATTTGAATAGATTGTAAAACCTGAGGGCGTAACAGATGGTCGATTTCTCATATAAGCTGATTGAGCTTTCACTAAGTTTTCCAGCAGCTTGAAAATCTCGTTCTTTTTTTCAACTCACTTTTTTATTTTATTATTATTATTATTATTATTATTATTATTATTATTATAAAAAAATTATGTACAGAAAACTCAAAGTTTTTACGCAGTTGTTTTTCTTATTACTATGTTATACCCATTATAATACACTTTATCATCATCATTCTTTATCAGAAATATTTTTATTAGCAAAAAAGTTTAGATAGAAATTTTATTTTTAAAATTTGCTGTAAATTATTATTTATAATTAGAAAAAATGTCTGCACACAAATTATCAGTAGTAAAAGAATATTTTAATTCTACATAATGAATTTAAATTTTAAACTACTTTAAGTAGAAAAATATGGATTTAGTCAGACGAATAGAATATTTTTGTAAATTCTTGTTTTAGTAGTAAAGGAGTCTTGTTTGTGACTTTTTTATATCGAAAATGTATTTTCTACTATTAGAAAACAAGTAGTAAAGATCAATTTTAGTCAGACATAATTCTTGAAATTAGAGTAAAATAGAGTAAAAAGTAACAGAAAATTTTATTTTTTAATTTTCTTATAAGTAGCAAAGGGTAGTTTTAGTAGTGAAAAACTAATTCAGTCAGACATAATGTTTGACAATTTAATTAATTAAATATTAATTAAACATTTTAAAATATAAACTAGCAACAATTTGTGCGGCTAAATTCTTACTACCTTTTTAAAATAAAATTAGCAATATTAAAAATAATAGAATTTAAAAATATTCTAATTTAAATTCTTGTTCAAAACACTAAAAAAATTCAATTTTTGAGAAATAATTGCAGAAATAATAAAAAACAATAAAAAATATAATTGCAGAAATTTAATTATTTTCAAAAGAAAAATATTAATTCTTCTTATAAAATTCAACTATGTTAAAAAATTTGAAAAAAATTCTCGTTAAGATCCCAATTATCTTTATAAATAACAAAACTTATCTCTAAAGTTCAATTATTTTCATAAATGTCAAAAAAATTCTTGTCCTAATTTCAATTACTTTCAAAAATTTTTCTAATTTCAATGATTTTCAATATCTACTATTTTAATAAAATTTTCCAAAAAGAATTCAATTATTTGAAATTTTTTTTAAATAAAATTCTATGCAAACATTTAATTATTTTCATAAATAATAAAAATTTCACAAGAATTCAATTATTTTCAAAAATTTTTCTAATTTCAATAATTTTCAATATCTACTATTATAATAAAATTTCCCAAAAATAATTTAATTATTTAAAAAAAATTTTAATAAAATTGTACGCAATCATTTAATTATTTTCATAAATAATAAAAATTTCACAAGAATTCAATTATTTTCAGAAATTTTTCTAATTTCAATAATTT